TAGGCGAATGTACTGTGTACGATTTGAGCTCAAGTTGGTAGAGTTACGCATAGTAGGTATTCTAAGGCTAGTAAATGACGAATTTCTCTTGTTTATTGAAGTCACACTCCTTCCCTATTATCTACTTCTGCATATATATGTATATGAAGAGCTTACTTGCAAAACTGCCTATGTCCTTTTTTTCAAAAATGAGTTTAAAGGGAGATTCCCTCGAACTTTCCACGTAAATTTGTGTAACAAACCACTGTAAAAACATCAGTAAATAACTCACTATACTTTAACTGAACGTTATAGCTTTGAAAATAAAACTGTAAAAATATGCATCAAGTCTATATTTGCTCATCGAAGAAGTAACAACTCGAAAAACGCTTTTCGCCGCGGTTCCGTAGGCACCATATTGTTTATATTTGAGCAACCATCATTTCAATCGAGTCAATGTAGCCACTTTCAGATATCATAACTTTTAATATAAATCATTTTATGAAATCAAACTTTGTAGTCTAGACAGAGAGGCACCTCGACTGTTTATGTTATTAATTTCAGAATTTTAAACCGTAACCGTTTTCGAGATAGAACGTGCTAAAAACCCAACAAAACATAATCTGAACTAACATCGACCTGACAGGACTCTCGACTCACTCACTCGTTAACTCGCTCAGAATACTATAATCTCCCAGCAACAAAAACGTTGCCCTTTCCCTATCAGCTAGCCATGTACGTAACCAGAAAAACCGTTGGGTCATAACATGCCAGTGTGTATAATTTTACATATCATGGTTCATACATACATAACACGGCAAGTGTGTGGAACAGAACAATCGCCGCATAGTGGCAACGGTAAATGCATTTGAAACATTCGACCTGAACGTTCAACTTTGTAGGCTAAATGAATGAACGTAGTCCTGAGCAATTTTTTTTCCCCTATTACATATATATAGGCAAGCAGAAGCATGCAATGTTAAAATAATTCATTTTTGCCTGATTTTATGTTTGCCGCTTGAAAGTTCGAGGGAATATCCCTTTAAGACATAATTCATTATATCCCACACTGACTGAGAACAAATTTATGATCTACACACACTTACATCAAGTCCATTTGTGTCCGGTTCAATATCTGTAATTAAAAGTTCATTTAAGAATCATGAAGATTATAGCACACATTATGCACCGGTATACATTAGTTTAAAATATATAGTCATTTATATATAATGTATGTAGTTTACATACATACTCATGTTGTTCTAATATGAAAATCTTGCAAATGTGATGAATTCATAGCACCTTGATATTTATAAGTATTAAAGTTTACAAGGTTTAAGCTACTATAATAATGCAGCAATTTCAGCTTGCCATGGCAACAATTAGTATATGACGCCGTGTTACACTGTGGGTCTCGTGCCGCTGGCACAAAGTCATCATCGTCATCTTCATCGCCAGAATCATCTCCAAAAAGGCCACTCAACCCAAGTTCTCTTGATCTCACTACTCGCACTTGACCACTGGAAAATCAGTGTTCTACATAATAAAATAGTTAACAAATCCAAAGTAAAGGCCAAGTTATTTAAATATTTATGCACGAGTTATTTGTTTATTGATTTTCACCTTGACCTCCAGTACTTTTCACATTGACACTTACTTATAGAAGCAAATTATATGTTAAATATGTACCAATAAACATGGTACATATAACATACACAAAGTAACACATTAATTACATTTGACATCGATTACAAAACACTACCTTTCATTTTCTGACCTTTGAATAAGAAATCTAAGGATGGTAGTCAAATCAAGCTCAGGTTCTTCATCAGATGTACGTTCAAGACTAACAGAAACCCATCCCCCATCACTTGACCGTTGTAAAATTCGCCTGAAGAAATAAAGAAATGCTTTGAACTATCAAATCTATATGTAATTATCAAATTATCTTCCCATTTATTGGTGCATATGTTATCTATAAAGTTGATCTATTACTGGCTATTTGAAGTAATGTTTTGCTTGCACTGATCATACTTTCAGAATCATAATTTCACCGTGGGAGAATAGTGCCATCGTTTTGGCTGTTTTTTCTGTTGTCACCATGGCAACCAACTCTCACGTATCCCTTCGTAGATACTTCTGATTCTATGATCGAGCATTTTCTTGCAAGCATATAAACAAAAGTTAATTGTAGACATTTTCCACCCCCTACTATTTTACTCTAACATTAGGTTAGAGGCAGGAAATTAAGTTTGTTAGAGGTGAACAAGTGGCATAAAGGAGACAACCGTTGACTTTACGCCAGTCGTTAATGCCTCCAGTGTGGCTGAATCCAGTCACTACGACGACTGTGAACGTTACGGTTATTCATTGTCGTTGCACTCTGCTATGGCCTTAAAGCCGCACTATGCGCATCCAAACGCTAATTTCTCCAGTACTAGACTAGCAAATACTTTGTGTCATGCATAATCACACTACCTCATGGCAAAATAAAATCTAGTTCCTCCCATTTCACTGCGCATTTGCTTAAAACCCACAAGAAAGAGGTGTGAAATCTGGTAATCTGGCGCCAACGCTAAATTGTTTGCCAAACAATTTCGCCAAGAAACAGTTAGGTGACGTCACCTGTTTTTATCTTTGCTACACCCGTACCGCTGTACCGCAGCACCGCTGTGCGGTTGCTTGGCAGGGCAACGCGAAAGTGTCAACAACATCGGAGAATTTGAACAACATTGGAAGTATTTTCAAATGCCTTTTATAAGACAACGCGCAGTGAAATGGGAGGAACTAGAGTTTATTTTGTCATAAGGTAGTATGATTATGCATGACACGAAGTATTTGCTAGTCTAGTACTGGAGAAATTAGCGTGTAGATGCGCATAGTGCGGCTTTAAAGGGACAGATGAGTGACACTATGTTCCTTGCAAATTTTCAGTTTAAATAAGTTAAGGCGAGAATTTTTTATTTTGTTGGTTTACAAGATCCGCCGATCCCAATTTTCAAAAAAAACGAAAAAAAATAAAAATTGAAAATCTGTATTTTTTTATTCCCGCCGACCTTTTCTCTGAGAAATATGAATTCTCGTAGCAATGTTTGCTGCCTCTGCAATGTTTGCTGCCTCTCGACCGCACTCTGAGAAATATGAATAAAAAAATGTAAACTTGCACAAACAGTTTATAATAAAAGTAAAAATAATTACAAGTTGAGTTTTGTTTTCATTTAGTTTTCTTAAAATACTATATATAATATCATACATATATCTTTGTTGATTAGCCCTCGGTCTGTAACGTACAAAAAATCGGCAATAGCGCAACTTCGTCAGGGTGCACATGGCAGCAAAATCGCGGGTGTCATGCTAGCGGCCAAAAAATAAAGATTCCAAAACTAGGGGGCCTAATTGTTGTTTTATGCCAAATGTAAATGCATGATTATAGAAATTTGTAGGTATATACTCCTTATTTATGCACTTATTATCATAATAAAAAATTAATATACCCTAAAATCTTTGGGTGTAATCACAGACACTTGAAGCATTTCAATAAAATATAATGCTAACTAAATACGAAATCTGTTTACTACTAAATTCTTAATGTTTCTATACTCGATCTCTTTCACCTATTATTTCCGTCAGTTTCCTGTAAATTCCGTCCAAATCCTATGTGCAACAAACACTGACTTCCGCCATTCCTCACACGGCTGCTGTGTGCACAATGACACTTATATATATAGCAGGTAAGAAAGCGGGATCACAAAATCGCAAGCCGAGAGGTGGGAGCGAGTGCCAGTCTATGGGCTATAGGCGGCGCGCACTGCTTTCCAACTCCCGTACAAGCCTCGCCATTGGAACGTTGCAAAAACGTTGCAGCACAAGAATGAGGTCACGAAGAGCGCCGGTAGGTGTTTTCTGATTCTGACAGCCATTTACATTACTGGGCAAGGTTCGCTAACGCAAGAATTTCGTCACTTTGTGTGATTTCGCGTGACACAGCTTGGTTACGAACAGAGACAGTATGTTTTTATAACAAGTGAACACTGTTCTTGACATAGAAACAAAGATGGCAGCTGTTGGATGTGTATTCGTGCTGTGAAAGTGTGAAATCAAGCAAGTGTCAAGCGAATTTTGCAATCCCGCAGTGTCAGTGTGCACACTGCAGTGCAGCCGCGTGAGGAATAGCGGCAGTCAGTGTTTGTTGCACATAGGATTTGGACGGAATTTACAGGAAACTGTCGGCAATAATAGGTGAAAGAGAGTATAGAAACATTAAGAAATTGGTAGTAAATAGATTTCGTATTTAGTTAGCATTATATTTTATTGAAACGCTTCAAGTGCCTGTGGGTGTAATAATATCCCTTTTACACATGCAGTGAGTCTGAGTGACATGTTGGCGTCGTAAATGTGTTCAGTAACTGGAAATGACTAATAGTAATACCGTACGTACTTTGGCGCATAACCTATGTCTGATATGTGATTTTTATTACTCTACTTCACACCTGCTACTACTACTAGTATTTCCACTTGCACTGCCAGCAGCGGGACGAGATGAAGATCCTTCAGCATTTGTACCAGTGCCAGTGGCAGTGCCACTAGGCCTACTGTTACTGTTTGCTTGATCACGATCGCTTTCTTCCTGGCTACTCATCCTTCTCCGCCGCGATATTCTACTGCCCATAGGTTCTTAAAACAAGACGCTCTAAAAACCGTGTATATTCCCCCTGCATGATTCCACACAATTCACATATATATGTCTGTAGGTCGCCCTGCCGCCTGCGCACTCTAAATTGTAAACAAGCACGACGCCATTCTTCAATCCTTGTACTTTCGAAAACAACTTGCGTTGCGTCCGGTCATCTTGCGAATAACGCGTCAACGTTATTGGCACGGTGGCCGGGCGAATGGGAACTGCAGGCGAGAAACCAGCGCTATTCAAACGGCCAGTGCGCTGATAGTGATGCCACTGATCTCTATAATCTATATACTAACATAGTGATCTCTATATACGAATTGTTAGTATATAGAGACCAGCTAGCTAGTGGCTGATACCAGCAATATTATATTTATTATATACTATACTAACTTATACGGAGCGATCATATGCGTGAGTCATGCACGGAGCCCGTCATGGGGACATTTGAGAACTACCAAAAATACAGCCGAGGGGGCGAGGGTTACTTAATTAATTGACTGATACTCATTGCCATAGCCTAATAATATCTATCATATGCTACATGCACATATACAGAAATGCATGCCGGTGCTATGATAATCGTGATATATGGTTACTCGAGGATAGGAGGAATTAAGACGCCAAAGGAAGTTTTCATTCGTCCCAAGAACAAAAAAGAAGTGGTATGCAAGAAGTTTAGATAACATATATCGTGATTTTTCCATCTCATTTCAAATGACTCGGGGGGTGCGGACTCGACTACAACACTGCTCATTTGCGTGCGCTCTATTCCCTCGAAATCGTCAGTATGACGAATGCCGGTCTCGATTCGGCAGATGTGGTAATTGAAGAAGCAGAATATAACTGCGTAAAATATCACAAATTATTTGTATGAAAAGTGTTGAGAGGCGAAATATCTATATAAGTCTTAGACAGGGTCCGCACGGGCATGGAAATGTCCTGGAATTTGATACGACTCCTTGTAAACTCCTTGAATTTTAAAATATTGTGTTTTATACTGGAATTGTCCTGGAAAAGTTGTTATTGTCCTGGAAAAGTACTCAAAACTACTGGAATTTATAAAATAAGAAATATAAAGCAATAAACATGTCTGTGTTCATTTTATTACGAATCTTACAGGGCAGCGGCGATATCCCTATGTTGCTATGTTTAGTGCATGAAAATGTGCCTGAAATAAAACGTATAATACCGGTACTGCTGTTCTCATGTCCTCTATTCCGTGTAATGTATCTTTTCAAGCTGTTCTAAGTCTGAAAACACTGAATCAGTAGATAGGTGCTTTCAGTAGTTACAATACATCAATGAGTCTTTTTCTTAAAAAGGTTATTTACTTTATAATGCGTTTACCAAAAAATTTATTTTTTACCATTAATTTGACTGGTGACAGCTGTTATACCACTTAGTATCACAATACATGTTATTTGTAATAAGATCCAATGTAACGAGTAAGGCCGAGTTAAAACAAGAACTGTAGGTCAAAATTGTTATAGGTTTAAACTAGTTACTTTTTCTGTTTTGTTTTTATCAAAAAGGGCGCGATTACGAACCAAAATAACCACCCCCTCGTATACGGCTGTATTAGCATAGATGAGCGAAAGAATGAAAGGCACGAGAGAAGGTGTGTGACTGTGTGTGTGTGGTGGCGTGTGTTGTGTGTGTGAAG